GACCCAGGCACCCGCTTGCAAAGCGTCCCGGGCGCTTCTGAGACATCTTTGCAGAAACGGGTAGATCGGCGCTTCTCATTTTTCGGTGCCCACCGGTCACCTGGGGAGCTTGTCAACGTGCGGCCTGATTCCGGAGGCCGGGCGCGTGCTTCCAACAAGCTCCCAGGCTGCGAGTCGCTGCCACCGGGTCGCAGACCGCACTCGGAACTACACCGGCTAAGGCCATAAGAGACTTCTTAGAAGAGAGTGGAGGAGTCCAAAGGGCACGCTGGGTGCCTCTCCCCGGGGTCGTCTTACCAGATGGTGGAGGGGAAGGACTCCTGCGTTTGGCCAGTGATGCACTTTTGGAGGAGGGCTTGAAAAGCACGGATCCGGTCCAACCTCTTCACTCAGCCCACGTGTACTGAGACATTTCCGCCCACCATCCTAAGGGGCAGCTTCTGTTCCTCAGCCTCTACGGATGAGCAAACCCCAGCTCAGGGAGCTCAAGCCACTCGCCCAAAGTTCCAGGGCTAATGGCAGGGTCTGCGTGCTAACCTTCTGCTCCACCTGCGTCTGGTGAGTGAAAGAGCACCCTGACCTAGCCAAGGCTCCTGACAGTGACTGCCTGAACCCCCATCTCTTCCCTTGTGACCTGGCGCTGCCCAAAGTATTTACGAGGTGGGAACAGCAGCGGGTGCCACAGTAAAGTGTTCGGGAAGCCTGGGGCCAATGGAGCCCAACAGGCATCTTGACTGGGGGTCTTCTCAGTCTTCAGAATTCGAATGTGCTTGGCAGCCCAGACCACAGCTCCTGATGCCTCCTAGCTCACCAGGCCGTGGCACCTCCAGTCCTCGGCAGGCCTGGACTACTGTGCTGCACGGGCAGCACCCACTTCCTGACCACAGAGGCAGGGCAGCTCCAACTCCGTTTTTATTGCAGATGGGGGTGACCTGTACCTCTGTCCTAGCAGCCTCACAGCGCCGTGTCCACTTCCTCTGCTCACTGGGAACTTGGGGGCAGAGGCTACTGTGCTTTCACATCCCAGAGAGGACAGAGTAGGTGTCAGTAGACATTTTCCGGGATGAAATACTAGCAGAAAAGCCGGGATGAGAAACTCTCTTGGGATTTTGGCCCAGTGCTCCTGGTGCCACTGAAGGTGGGATCACTGTTTACTTTCAGAGCCAGGCGGGGCTCAGCGCCCAGCAGGTGCTCACAAACGGACAGCAAGGCGCACAGCTAGCTGAACAGGCACCCCTCTGGACACCTCGCCCCTGCTCCCCCTGCCCCCCCTTTGCTGTAGCACTTTCCTGTCTGACACCCGATGCACTGTACTTGTTTATTATGTTTTTCCATCAGAATGAAAGCTCCCTGAGGTCAGGGACTTGTCTATTGTCTGTATTCCCCAGAGCCTAGAATTGTGCTTGTATATAGCAGGCACTCAATAAATACTTTTTTTGGTGGACTGGATGGGCATGATTTAGTCAGACCCTGGGGGCTTCTGCAGAGTCTGGTTCAGGAAAGGGGGTGCTGGAGAGAAATCTTGCCCCTGGCAACCTCCCATTTTAATCTAACAGTGTTAGAAGGCAGGGAGGAGTCCGATTCAGTTTAAGGATGACAGGGTCAGGGGGCACAGAGGTCCCAGAGCAGCCTTTGGGCATTGGGAGGTGGTGGGTGGATTCCAGGTCGCTGGCCTCAGGGACTCTCCCTCCAGGCACCAGCTCACTGAGTAACTATAAGAATCTACTGTTCTTGGTCTGAAGGCACTTGGAGGAAGGGACTGAACCTCTTCCCTCCCCTATCTCTGCCAGGTCCCAGGCCCCTCTGGGCCTCTATCCACAGAAACCCAACCACAAGCCCTCAAAGGCCTGGAGTCCTGGCCAGGTGGGGTCCTTGTCTTGAAGCCGCAGAGTTGGAGGGCCAGATCCAGTGAAAGCATCCCGCAAGGCTGCTGGTCTCGGGGCGTCCTGAGCTCAGAACTTGACTGCTGGCTGCTGGGGTGGCTGCTTCTGCAACAGGGCCAGAGTGTCCCGCTTCTCGATGGAGCGTAGCTGCTTCTTCCTCGCCCGCTTGATCTTGGCAGGGTTTCGGATCTGGGGAGGGGGAGGGGAGGGCATGAGTGCGGCTGCAGCCTGGGTCCCTGCTCCCAGGGGCCAGGAAGTGTGTGCTGCAGGGGCCTGGGGTGGCAGCATGGGGGGGGACACTCACCACTTGGACGACCTCCGCCTTCCGCTCGTTCTCCAGACGGCGTTTCAGGTTCTCGGCCCGGCGCTGTTTCTTCTCCTGAAACATGCAGGGGAGGGGGCTGGAGTCTGAAGCAAGGCAGCCCACTCTCTCAGGCCCAGACTAGTGAGAGCTGGTAACTTTCTGGGAGCAGGAAGAGGCCTCCGAGCCAAGGCTGGGCTCGGTGGTGAGTGGGTAGAGGGCCTGCCAAAGTGGCCCCACGCCAGAGCCCACTGCACATTAGAAGGTGGGTTCCCAGACAACAGCTGAGACAGGGGCTTGCACAGGAGGCCCAGGTGGGCTGAGACACGGGTGGCACCTACTGAGAGATTCACCAACATGCAGATGGCCGCCGAGCTACCACACTCCTTGTCAACTGCCCAGGGAGAGGAGTGGGCAGCCCCTCCCTCATTCCAGGTGCAGGGCTGGGAAGGGGCTGAGCTGTGGAAGAGGCTCTAGAGCTGGCTGGCCCGGGGTTCGAATCTCAACTCTGCCACTTCCTGAATAGGTAACTTTAGTTAAGTCCCTGCACCTCAATTTCCACATCTGTAAAGTGAAGATGACCACAGTGCCCGCCCCAAGAGTGTTTTGAGGAATCAGTGAGTAAATACATGCGCAGAGCGAAAAGAACACCTGGCTTCTCTGGAACACAGGAATCTAGATGGAGTCTGTTTTGGGAAGGGGAAGCCCAGGGCTCTCTGGCTATGCCAACTGACTCCCAGCTGGGCTAGAGCGGGAATATTGGCCCCAAGGCCGCCACACGGCCAGGACTTCTTGGCCTTGGCAACTCGGGGTAGCAGGGGTGGCCAGGCCCCTGTTGGGGAAGAAGTGAGCCTTGGCTCCTGCAGCTGGGGGCAGGAGCACCTCTCTGGTGGACAGTGGGATGGCAGCTCTGTCTTGCCCAAGAGGGAGCCAGGGCCACACAGGAAGTGAGACATGGTCTCAACGTATGGTGGCAGCCATACTGTCCTTGGGGGTGACTTAAAGCAGGGGATGACCTAGTGACCCGCCCAACCGGCCCACAGCCAGGGACGAGTCGCCTGCCTCCGGTTCAGTGCTCCTCCTGGACTCTGGATCACTGGATGGGTGACAGCCACTGATTACCCTGGCCTTGGGGGCAGCTGCTGACCGGTGCTACCACTCCGCCACTCTGTCCACGTGCGGCTTGTGATCGTCCTCCTCCCTCCCACTGAAGAGTCCCTCCTTCTGTGGGGAAAGCTATGACCCCCCCACAGGAGACAGCAGGTGTGGGGCACGAATGGCCGACAGAGCATTTCTGGCACTGGGACGGGTGACGGGGGAGGGACGTGGGGAGGGTGTGGCCCACCCGCGCTGCTGGAGTGTGGGGCTGCTTCTTGGAAGGTGATAGCAGCAGGACTGGGGGTGAGATGTTCTGTCTGCAAGCCTTTTCCGCCTGTCCAGGGCCCAGGGAAGGGACCATGACCCTACTGCCCCAAATGCCCCTCCCACCTGGGACTTCCTGGGTCTCCACCATGTCCACCCTGGAGCCTCTCACTGAGGCCAGGCTAAAGTGCATGGTCCCCCGGGCTTCCCTGTCCTCTGGGCCCAGATGGCACGTGTCCACCTCCAAGTCCATCTCCCCCAGGCACCTGTGCAAATCCCCCCTGGTTGGTAACAGCAGACACAGGCTGGGCCCCCGAGCCCCAGCCTCAGCCGGGCTGGCCCCTCACCTTCCGGCGCCTCTCCTTCTCCTCCTCCAAGTGCTGGGCGAAAGCCTTGGCCAGCTTCCTTTCCTGCCGCACCTTCATCTTCTGCTGCCAGGTCGTGCGCAGGGGCTTGTCCTGAATCATCTGGGAGAACCTGCACCGGGTGCGCGGAGTGGGCACTCATGGGGGCTGCGGGGTCTCGCCCTGCCTCTCCTTGGCCCCGGGCTCGGGGCCTTCCTCCCCAGAGCCCAGGCAGGCCCATCTCCCTGCCTGCCTGGCCGGTGGCCTCCAGGTCTGTGGGAGGGGACCACGGCTGTGCTGGCGGCCGATTCTCAGAACTGGGCCCCGTGCCTCTGAGATAGGTACCCTTGTTCTCTCCATTTTACAGAGGAGCAAACCAAGGCGCAGAAAGATTAAATAACTACAAAAGGCCACCATGTCCCTAAGCAGCAGTCAGGATTTGAACCCTTGTCTGTGACCACAGGGTAAGGGCCATATGGCCTCTGGTGTAAAATTCTGCTGCTTCCACCAGGCAGTTGGCCTGGGTCTTGCCCTGTAGCAGTGGCCGTTCCATTTTGAAAAAGCGTGTGTTAGGAGTCAGAATCTCCCCCAGTCAGAGTGGAGTGGGCAGTAGGGGCTGTCAGGGAAGCCTCATATCAGGGCAAGTGGTCCTTCTGCCTCAGCCTCCGGGGTAGCTGGGACGACAGGTGTGTGCCACCACACTTGGCTAATTTTGTAAATTTTTTGTAGACATGAGGTCTCACCGTGTTGTCTAGGCTGGTCAACTCCTAGGCTCAAGCGAGCCTCCTGCCTCGGCCTCTCAAAATCCTGGGGTCACAGGTGTGAACCATAAGGGTGAATAATTAGGTGAAGACTTCACTGCTTTGATCAAATAATGGCTGGTTTACTTGTTCTGCCTCTCTCACCAGAGGGCAGAGGAGGATGAACGTCTGTCGAAGGCATACACAATGGAGGTGCTATAGGAGAGGTCCAAGGGACCCTGAGGAAGAGGCATCACAGAAATGACCTCCCAGGGCCTGCTCTCACCCTCCCCGGGATCCCGGGGCATTGGAACCACATTCTGAGGACAATAACCTGTCTGCTGACACTCTACAGATATGCGCTCTCTCCAACCCCGAGGGCTGTCTCTAGGCGTGGTCCCAGCACCCCGGAGCATCCCACCCCTGTTCCTGCCGTCTCCCACTTCACCTTTTCTTGGAGCGGTCCTTCCACACTCTCCCAGATTTGGGCTTCCCCTTGGGGATCACAGGAAGCGCCTCCTTCTCTTCCTTCAACTTCTTGGACTCTGGGGCCCGGGCTGAAGTATCTTTTCGCTTCTTTGTCCCGAGGTCCCCGAGGCCACCTGTCATCGGCTTCCCGGCTGGAAGTGGCCTGCTTAACTCGGGCCGCCCCTGGGGAGAACCAGGGGCCTCGGGGGTCAGCTCCTGCAGTGGGGGCGAGGGCTCCAGGCCCGGCGCTTGATGTCCGGGGTGAAGTTCCGGGGATCCTGGGCCCGGCTGCAGCGGGTGCTGGGGCGCCCCCAGGGTCAGCCTCTCCACATGCTGGGCCGACTCCGAGGCCAGTTCTTCCTGGCCCTCAGTGACCTTCGGTGACTCCTCACTTGGCTCTGGCTGGCATCGGAGGGATTCAGGGGTCGACTCCGGCTGTCTTTGAGGCGACTCTGGGCCTGGACTTGGCTGACGTCGGGAGGATTCGGGGGTCGACTCCAGCTGTCTTTGAGGCGACCCGGGGCCTGGATCCGGTTGACGTCGGGGGGATTCGGGGGTCGACTCCGGCTCTCTTTGAGGCAACTCCGGTCCTGGACCTGGCTGACGTCGGGGGGATTGAGGGATCGACTCCGGGCCTGGACCTGGCTGACATCGGGGGGATTCGGGAGTCGACTCCGGCTCTTTTTGAGGCGACTCCGGGCCCGGACCTGGCTGACATCGGGGGGATTCGGGAGTCGACTCCGGTTCTTTTTGAGGCGACTCCGGGCCTGGACCTGGCTGACGCTGGGGAGTCCTTGGGCCCGGCTCCGGCTGCCCTCGGGGGGACCCCAAGCCTGCATCCTGCCGCAGACAGGGCGATCCCGGGCTCGTCTCCTGCCGACGTCGGGGGGACCCCGGCTCGCCTTGTTGCACACTCCGAGGAGACCTGGGCTGCCTCGTTTCTTCTGGGCCCGACTGGAGCGTCAGAAGGGCCCGTCTCGCCCGCGAGACTGAGGCGAGCCCCTCGGGGGAGTCCGGCGCTAGGCCTTCCAGCCGCCGGCTGCGCCTCAGTGGGGTCTCCATGGCCCAGCCCGAAAGTTCCCAAATCCGGGCGCACGTGCAGGCCCCGCGGCTTCCGCGACCACCGGCGCCTTCCTATGACGTCAGCGGCAGCCGCGGCAGCGCCGGGCGGGAGGGGCCGTTGCCCGGACGGCCATCTTGGCGACTGGCGGAGAGGCGGGGTTGTCGGCCGGCGGGGGCGGGGCTTATGGCCACGCTCAGTGCGCTTGCGCGCATTCCCTGCAATTGACGAGCCAGTTCTTTGGCTGGGATTCCCTTTTGCCGTTTTTCGCAGAGTTTTCTGGAGCAGGGAGAGCTTGCGGGCAGGGAAGGGAAGGTGGGACACGTTTCCTGGAGAGAAGAGAGTTGAAAAAAGATCCAGGGAGCCCGCAGACAAAGCTGGGTGGCAACTTGTCTGCTCACTCACTCCAGTGCAATTGGACAGGGAGCCTTCGGGCCTCCGTGATCTTATTTGTAATGTGGGTAGTTTTGCACTAGTTTAGCGCATCTAAAATGATACTGTCAGAGTACTCCTAGTTGTCTAAGTGAACGCTACCTGGGCGTCCCGGAAGCGGAAAATCGAAGTCTTTTCTGTGTTAAAATCTTCACATTCTTGCCTTCTCCCGTCTTGTGCTTAAGTATACAATGTATGACTCTCCCCTTTCAACATTTTCTTTCATTTTTTTGGGTCAGAGCCTCACTCTGTCGCCCGGGATGAGTGCAGTGAGTGGCACGGTCACCACAGCCTCCACCTGCTGGGCTCCGCGATCCTTCCGCCTCAGCCTTCCAAGTAGTTGGAACTACAGGCGTGTGCCACAACAACCAGCTAATTTTTTGATTTACTGTAGAGACGAGTTCTCGTCATGTTGCCCAGGTTGGTCTCGAGTCTGCGGGCTCAGGCAGTCTGTTCGCCTTCGCCTCCCAAAGTGTGGGGATTAGAGGCGTGAGCCACCGTTCCCGGAGGGATCCCTTTCAACATTTTCAACACTTAAGAGTGAAGTCGAGGTACCACAGATGCACGCCACCTTTGTCCTGTGACTCACCTGGGCTCTCATCTAGCTGCATACCCTTTCTTCTGCCCTAGTTCTAGAAACAGGTTGGATTATCTCTCGTCTTCCTTTCAGCCAAGGCAGTGGTTTTTGCCCTTGTATGTAAACCCCCTTTTCTACTTTCATATTCACCTGTCAGTGTACTTTGCGGACAGAGCGCTTTGGGACCTCACCAGTAGGCAGGTGTAGCTTTCTGGACCTCCCAGTGCCTAGAGAGGATGTTCTGGGGTCTCCTTCGCCTGAGACCCAGGAGTGGGCTTTGATTTACTCATGCAGGCTTCTTTCCTAGCAAAAACATCTTGAAAGTGGTCCAATTGCTTCCCAGCATTATTCTTGGAACTGTCTGGGATGGCCCACAGGGCTCCCAGGGCCTCTGTCCGACATCCTGGTGGCTTCTTTGAGAAACCCTTGTTAGGCCGGATGTGGTGGCTCATGCCTGTAATCCCAGCACTGTGGGTGGCTGGGGTGGGAAGATCACTTGAGCCCAGGAGTTTGAAACTAGACTAGGTAACAGAGCAAGACCTTGTCTTTACCAACAACAACGAAAAAGTGCCAGGCATGGTGACAAGCACCCGTAGTCCCAGCTACTCAGGAGGCTGAGGTAAAAGGATCGCCTGAGTCCAGAAGAAAGACCTGTGATCGATCGTGCCACTGCATTCCAACCTGGGCAACCGAGTGAGACTCTGACTCAAGAAAGAAAGAAACCCTTGTTTTTCCAGCTGGAGGCTTGTGAAAGGGCCTGGGAAGTTGTCCGAGGATATTAGGGGTCAAATGTGTTCTGGAGTCAAGGAGACCCTGCAGAGAGGCTTCATCCTGTCCCAGTAGTGTAACAGTGGTCACCTCCCTTCTCAGCTTTGCTGGCTCCCAACTCTCCAAGGAGTGATCTCCACTAGATTCCTTAATTTCCCTGTCCCTTCCTGGAGACCCGACTGGTCGAGCACAGAACCATGGCCAGCGTGCCCTGCCAGGGTGACTGGAAGAGACCATACACACCCCTACCCTGCTGCAGCTCCGCCTCCACTCAGCACGCCTTCTGAGAGCTTGTTCCCAGCTGAAGGGATCACTCTCAAGTGCTGATTGGACCCTAGCCCAGCTCTGCTTAAAATACTTCAGAGGGGGCCTCAGGTTCCCATCAGAGAGAGGGGGGTGTTTTTCAGACGGGGCCTTTGTGAAGGTATTTACTCAGCCCGGGCACCAGGTGAGCTGTGGCCCAGATTCCCTCACTCCCACCTGAGCTCACTGTCATTATACGTGGGGTGCAGGGCCCAGGGGAAACTCCTGGTGTTTTTAGAGGAGCCCGGCATGGCAGCTGCTGTTGGGACCCTATTCCCTCACACTCCTTTTTTTCTGAGTTGGGATCTCACTCTATTGCCCGAGCTGGAGCACAGTGGGATGATCACAGCTCACTGCAGCCTCAACTTGCTGGGCTCAGGTAATTCTTCCGCCTCAGCCTCCTGAGTAGCTGGGGTTACAGGTGCCAGCATCAAGCCTAGCTAATTAAAAAAAATTTTTTTGTGGAGATGAGGTCTCACCATATTGCCTAGGCAGGTCTCGAACCCCTGGGCTCCAGTGATCCTCCCACCTCAGCCTCTCAATGTGCTGGGATTTCAGGTGTGAGCCACCATGCCCAGCCCCTTTGCACTCCTTTCTACTGACTGCAATATCCCAGCCTCCTTGCCTTCAGGTGGGAGGATGCTGAGAGAGTTATCTGCAGTCCCCCAGAAACCTCCAGCAGGACTGAGCCCCATGTGCCCAGGAGAAAACCTGGTCACTCAGGTACCCTCTTTGACTTCCTCCCTGTCTCACTTCCCCACTTCTTACTAGGTGCTTGCTGGGGTCATTTTCTGGGCAGACTATTTGCCCTTAAATTCTTGTTTCGGAGCTGGCTTCTGGAGGAACCCAGCCTGAAACACCAGCAAGCAATTCTTGGGTGAGGCATTTTTTCAAGCCCTCTGCATGTGCAAACCCCTTGACTCCTCACAGCAGCCCGTGAGGCAGGTGCAGTTGCTATTACTCCCATTTGACAGGTAAAGAAACAAAGGCACAGAGAGGCCAGGACACTTGTAAAGGTCACACAGCAGATAAACAGCAAGAGCCATACCTCGGCTGTCTGATTCAGAGCCACAACTCTTTTTTTTGTTTGTTTTTTTTGTTGTTGTTGTTTTGTTTTGTTTTTGAGTTGGAGTCTCACTCTGTTGCCCAGACTGGAGTGCAGTGGCCGCTCCCAGCCACCACAGTGTCGACCTGCTGGGCTCCGGCGATCCTTCCGCCTTAGCCTTCCAAGTAGCTGGAATTACAGGCATGCACTACCACGCCCGGCTGATTTTTTGAGTTATTGTAGA